CGCTAAAGCTTTACTTTTGGCAACGACAAATTGGCATTGGCAAAAAATACACTTCTACCAACACAATATGAGTGGGGAAAAGTAACTTTTAGCGAAACATTTACGTCGGTAAATGTTGCTATTTGCCAACGATTTGGTTGTCGATAAAGCTTTAGTTTTGGCAACGACAAATCAGCATTGGCAAAAAATACACTTTCACCAACACAATATGAGTGGGCAAAAATAAACTTTTGGCTACACATTTACTAACAAGTTATTTGTCGAGAAAGCTTTACTTTTTAACAACGACAAATTTGCAGCAGCAAAAATAATTGAAACTCATTTATAATTTTTTAAAAGATTTACAGTTTTACAAGAGGCATCCCTCAGGCACCACTATAACAAACTAATAACATTGATATGAAACCACACAAAATACCCCCTCCATACCCTTCCATCCAAAACACCAGTAGTTGCCCGAACTTACACCTAATGACAACCCCCATTAATGAAAACCTGATCTATTACAGACTGGACAAAAAGTCCTGCACCCTTCCAAACATCAACAACACCAGCAAACATCCAATAACAACACCGCAACACCTCATCGTAACAATCACCATCACAGCAGCATCACCACAGCATCTCAGGAACAGCAGCAACATCACAGCAGCACCAGAAGAATGGCAGATTAGTAAACTGATTCAACACAGATCATCACCAGTTCAGAAAACCATTTCAACTCGGCAGTGTGATGAGTAAAAGTGTCACATGAGTAGAAGTGTTAGTGCTTCTTGCATTAAGGTCTGGTTACTTGTTAGACAGATTTGAATTAGACATAAATTCAGCAAATAGGAAAACAAAAGCATGAAAGGAGTAGCCTACTCCACAAGGGTGGCTTGAGATACACACACAAGTCAATAGGGAATTTCCACACTGGCTCTTTAATTCCAACTCTAAATTCATAATCAAGCAGGGGCCTCTTTATGTGGACACTAGTAAACCATAATGAGAAATAAACTTTCTAAAAATTACCCCATTTAGAGACTGTAAAATATTCAAAATCTACCAAAATAAGTAATTCTAAACAAGTAATTGGCTAGATTATAGCCCAAGAGAAGTCTACTAACCAACACACAAACTATATTTTTCAAGTTTTCAGAAACAAAAATAATAAAAAGTTCAAAAACATCCATTCTTTTCATATCATGTTTACATTAGCAGTTGCGGTAACAAATCAAACAAACACAGAAGATAAAAGGTACTATCCCATTAAACAAACGCAGACAATAACAGATGCTAGCCCCTATGTTTGGAATTTTAACCATCCAAGTAGCTCAAAAAATGGCAGAAAAAAAAGACTGAAGGTCATAAGAACATAATTATGACAGAAAACTGCATGGGCTTTGCTATTATGAATTACTTTCCAGAGATAATGTCGCAGATACAATAACTTAGGAGGAGCATACCTTTGCAGAATTTCCACCTTCTTCGGATCAATAGCAGAAATTACTTCATCTGTAACGAAAGTTACATTAAAAATAAAGGTAGCAAAACAGGGAAATTATTTTCCAAGTAAAAATAACATATGCACATCATTATAACTATTTATTAAGCATGTCCCAATGGTTAAGTGATAGAGGTAGACTATTTCAAGAAGTATAAATCACACGCAGAATTTTAAATTATATTTGCAACAGAACACACACACACACACAAAGTCGTAATCCAGCTAAGATAGCATCTTCCTGTTTCTGTTCTACTTTGAAATCGAGTAATTTCACAACAAATTGCCCCGGATAAGAACAGTCATCAAATATTTATATGCAAAGTTAAGTAACAGTGGTGTGCTCCACAACATGAAAAGTACCAAGATATACAATTTCCTAATCTCTTTCTTAAATGCTATCACTACTACTTATCCCACAAATTTAGTAAACTTCAAGCAATCCCTCCCTTCTTACATACTTTGAGAAAAGACCAAACTCTTCAAGAGTGTATAAAACAATATTCCAAGCAAAACCAAATGTTGAGATAAAATAAATCTAAGAGATAAAGGACAAGTTCACATCATGTTGAGCTAAGAGCCCCTGAAACCATTTTTTCATATCAAATCAACCCATCTATTATCTTTTCAATTTCATTTAAAAATATAAAGAAAATGCTGAGCAAGCATGCAAACGCCTATGTGGGAGAGAGAGAATCCCCCAGTCACAATATTGTTGGGATATACTAGTATGGAAGGTGGTGTGGGTGCCTCCCTGATTGCAATAAGAGGATACTTTTGGGGTGGTGGGGGGGGGTTGCGGCTCCAACTAAAGTAGTTCCAAGTTGTTATGTACAAGTGAGATTCTCTAACAATGTTTGTATCACATGAACTCCACAAGAATTAAATTAGAGCTTCCCTAATGCAAGATTACCTAGATATTTCGGTTTGAATGATGGGAAAAAAGGGGGGGAGTTCAAAAGTATTCAAAGTGTTTGATTAGATTCTAGTGATACAAAGGGCTTTGAGAAGTTCCGTAGAAGAAGAATTCACAAAGTAAGAAAAAGAAAGGGAAAGAAATGAACCATAACCATGAATCATGACTGCTATCCCCATTCAAATCAACAAAAATTTCCGCAATCGTTCATTAACCAAGACAAAGCATTCATTGTATTTAAACCTCATCTTACATCAAAGGCACAAGCAAAGTTATGACCAGATGGAACTCAAATTTTGAAGAAATTATTTAAGTTAATAACAGGCTGGATTAAAGACTCACAACCCAGCTCAAGTTAGAATTTAAATTAAATAGAAACTTTTAGAAAATACACTCACAAGAATACTTAGTTTCAGCAAATAAACTTTTCCAGAATCCTAGACCAACACAAATAATAACTACCAATAATAGAGCAAGTAACAACACCTCATAATAAAATACTTACTTTTAACACCAATCAACATGTAGAATTACCAAGAAACTCTCAAATTAAAAACTAGTGAGGAAAAAAATCTCTATGAAGCATTAGTTCACAGGTCACTGCATCAATCATTATTTGTAATTAAGTGTGACAAAGCATAAGAAACCTTTAGTTTATGCAAGTGATGCACGATTTCCTAGTTTAAAACTCCAAAGAAACCATGAAACTGAACCAAAAAAGGAAAAGAAAAACAAAGTGTAGCATAAAAACCATTCCTAGTTTGGTATTAGCTACTTATAATTTGTCAGAAAGAAAATTTTCCAGCCAAATTTGCTGATCAATAACTAGCACAATCAGCAGCCTTGTGTTGAAGCAATATCACAAGCAAATGTAGTATATATCATGACCATAGAAATAAGCAAGTGTAGTATATACCAGCAATGACCACCGATTTGGGTCTCGCATGATAAATGGGAATATTTCAGAAGGTTGCATAGTTTCTGACAGCAAGGAGTGATTTACTGCTTCCTCAAAATGCAAGTCAAACAGCAAGAGGAAACCCACTTGAGCATGAGATGGCTTCCTCAAAGTTCCTATATATGCTTACTTTGAAGCTCCTCCACCAAGGAGATGGCTTCCTCAAAGTTCTTCTTGCGCAACAGGTCTTTGATTTGTTGCTCCGACGGTACTTTCCTATAGCAAATAACCTGGCAATAACATAAAACAGTATGATTTTCCAAACATTCTACCACCCTAAGTACTAAATGTACTAATAACTAAAACTGCAGGAAATACCCAACAGAACTTATTTACCACGATGCCTCATTTTGAAAGTACAAGAGACCAGTATTGTGAACTTACAGGGCACAAGGATAAACAGCCAATATATAAACTGGTCTGCAAGTATAGTTAATCTAAACTAGATTGTTAGAGTTGTTAGTTTTTCATATTATTTTAAAGGTAGTTATGTAATCTCATATCGCACTAATATAAATACATTCTAAGGTGCAGAGTAGATGATAAAGCCCTAAACTTATTTCTCTGCTCTTCTTCTTCCTTCTTCTCTTCTTACTTAACCCTAATTTTCTTTCAGGTGATTTAACCCAATAACCTAAAAATACCAGTACATTCTGAGGTGTCAAATGAACAATGATGTCAGATTACCAATTTGCTAAAGGTAATAATCATGAAAATAAAGCATATATAGGAATTTAATCAAGAGAATTTCCACACTCACTTCTGAAAAGATGGTTTTCGCGGCTTCCACGGGTCATAAATTCATAAACAAGCAGCCGCTGATCATCTTCAATACAGTACCTGACAAGTTTAACAAGATTAGGATGGTGAAGCTGCCCAAGGAAGTCCACTTCAGCCTGTATACAATAAGAAAGTACAATTTAGTTACCTCCCATCATTTTTTTGCTTCTCACACACATCTTCTGAACAATCAATCTACTAACCCAAAGCAGATAACCTATTAACCACCCATTCTCTATGGAAGTCCAAACCAGGACCTGCAACCTCAGCTAGAGCTCCCAAAGCATGTGCAGTGAAGGCCCTGGATACATATCCAAAGGTGTTAGCAAAAAAAATAGGATTAAAAACTGTATCAGTTTACCAAAAATGGAGGTCTATATGCATATGAAAGAGGAGAATGGACCAGCTTGGGCAAGATATGAGGCAAAACAGCAGCAGTCCTGACACTGAAGTTAACATGCAAAGAAATTTAAGGACCACAAAACAGCTGAAAAACAACAAGAAATCCAGCATTTAATCTAAGAAGTGGAATATCTTACTTTAAGATTTGTTTGAGGCCATCAAGGGCAGTATTAGAGGTTTCATCATCCTCCAAAGCCTGCAAGAGTGTAGGGACAATCTCATCAATTGCTTGCAATCCGACACTCTACATTATGGCAATTTATTATACATTTTCTGCTCCAGAGTACCATGTTAAAAATAAAATCAAAATGACTAAAAAACATTAGGAAAGAGCACCTTGTAAAGTGTGCTGAATGCTAAGCCTGCCGACTCATGAACCTCGGGCATGCTATTAAAGAAATACAAGAAACATAATATAGCATACACCAAAGATTAGAGAGAAGTGGAATAGATTAAGTGAACCAGCAAATCAGAGCAATTGATCAACAAACCTATCACAAAGGGCTGTACGGATGGTAAGAATGAGCTCATCCATGAAACTCAACAACTGACTCTTACCAGCACTGGCCATCACTTCACTCAGACCAATACATACTCTCTGTTGGTGGAGAGAAAATTAGATTTGCGGACTAAAACAAAAATTAAAAAAGGAGAGATTAATAGATATAAATCTAAATTGTTTTCTTTATCATTGTATCCTATGTTATTTTGTTCACACTTATAATGTATTTTATATGTGCCTAAGTGATGGACACTTGAGTATACCAATTGTCCGAAGCATTTTCGGGTCTAGAAAGATCTGACATGTCAGTGTCAACAAGGACATGCCACCCTCTTAGAAGTGTGTATGTGCTTCTTAGATCACTACCACAATTTACATTGCCTATGCTACGCTATTAATTAAGATAAACAGTCATGATAAAAATAGTAATTTAAAACAACGCCAAGAATGTAAACAATAACAAGTGAAAAAAGAAAAAAGGAAAATGTTGCCAACATATATTTTTTCTGCAATAAGTCAACCAAATGTTGCCAAAACAAGAGCAACCTATTTGTCAGCCATGTCTTTAGAGATTCTCATCAAGCCCAGTGCAAACAAGAAAATAAGATCCACAAAGTAGAATTTAAAGGTCAAAAGCCTCACTTGTCTTCTGTTAGCATTAGGGTCTTTTAGCCCTCGTGATAAAATTGGAATGATTAAAGGTAGAACTCTTTCGCCAAGCTTTCTAACAAGCTCACCAAGTGATCGTCCAGCAACCTGAAAATACAAGAGCAACTGAATTTATTATTTGGGACTATACAAAACCCTATCATAGCTTAGAAAACACTACAAGAAGAATAGCAGACCTGTCTCCTTTCAGAGGATGATGATGCAAGAGAAGTAATTAAAGTATTCATCAAAACTGGCATTATTTCCTTCAGAGTCTTGGGAGCATTTGCAACTATGGTCTTTCACACATGTAATGCAGCCTGCACGAGAGAGAGAGAGAGAGAGAGAGAGAGAGAGAGAGAGAGAGAGGAACACACTTACAGTCTACATGTCCAAAAACCAAAAGGCAGCAAAATATTAACAAACAAAGCAATCCATTATATTTATAGCAGCATTACCTGGTGCACTGTTAAGCTCACAACATAATACACCAGATCAGCAACCCTAGCAGTGCAGCTGCAAAAGAGCAGCACAACAACAAACCCCATTAGCAGCAACACATTAGCAGCAACAAGAGAGGCTTCAACAGAGCAGAGAGACTCCATACAAACCCCATCAGTATAGCAGCATTAGCAATAGATTGCAACAAACCCCATCACAAGTTAAACCCCAACAGATCATGATGCACTAGACCAAAACAACACTACTAAACCAGAGAGGCAGCACAACAACATACCAATTTTAGCAATGACAGGTTATTATCGTCTTTAACGGTGAAGCTGGCTGGTTCAGTCACCTCTACACGACCTCACTTGTCCACTGCAAGCCTCATTGACCCCTTGAACATGTCAATTTTAGCATTGCGCAGTATTACAGTACCATCAGGCTTCATCAAGTCCACTGCATAAAAGGAAAGCCAAGAATTAAACTCAACAAACTTAATAGAAACTTTGCCCTAAGTTTAAGACCCGCATCAGAGAGGAAACTAAAGGGTGCAACCCAAAAAAATCAATGTTCAACAGGTATGATAGGCATGACAAACATTTAAAATTTAAATCATGGGCCAAATTACAAAAAATCAGTGGTACCTGGGGGCCATCTGGTCGGCCTTTTTGTAACACCGTCTTCGAACTAACAACTTTCAGAATGAGATTATGTCCACCAGTGCCGGGTCGCAGCTGATCAACCTTATTGAACACTAGTTTCCTTATAGCAGACTTTGCTTCAGCCATTTGTAACACGTTAGACGATGAAGTAAATGTCTTTAATGCCTTCAGAAACCTATAGTACCGGTTTCCCATTCACCAAGAGAGCCTCAACTACTACTCTGGTGGAAAGTGTGTCATAACCTAGAAATTCTGTGTCACAAATATTTTCAGCTAGATCTAAAAAAACCTTTATATAACAAATAATAAAAACTAAACTAAACACATCATAACAATTAGTAATGTAACCAAATTAATATCAAATGCATTTCAATATCCCAAATTTTATTCAAATATCTAACAATACTAAACATAAGAATTCTAAAATGCGGGAATGAAGTGTGGTAAAGCCCATGATAGCATATGGAGGTGTATATATATGCTCTAATACTGTGATGTAAACCTTACAAGCTAACAATAAGGATTCAAATGTAATGCAGTCGAGTAGAGATTGACATGACAGCCATCATTTTTCCAAAGGAGAACATTCAGTTCTTCTCATCACAAACAAACAGAAAATTATAACATGCTCACCAATTCCATACCAGGATCACTTATGCCTGGTGTTCCTGCATCACAGATTTGGGCCACAATTTCACCCTGTTGCAATCTCTTCAGAACTGCTTGTTCTCTTTGAGACTCATTGAATTTATGATAACTTAGCTGAAAATCTAAAGCTTACCATTAGAAAGAGAATAAGAATGCCAAATATCAGTTAGCGTTATCAAACAAAATCGATAAACCTATTCCCAGTTCAATTCCTTCCCAGATCTAGTTCAAGAACCTGGAATTCCCTTAGGGTTCTCTAATTTTAGATTCAAGAATTTTTTTTTTTAATTTTTTATTTTATACAATCACAACTAAGTTAAAGGATCCTAATTTTTGTAATACCCAATTGACATTGAACATATTTTTCCCAACTCAGATTCAAGAAGTTTATAAAAAAAAGAATAAATTCACAATCTAAAACAATACAGTCGCGTGCTTTCAAATTAATTCAAGAGCCTAGAGTTCCTTAAGGTTCTCTAATTTTACATAATTTTGGAGTTGCTCAATCAAAACCTTGATTTTTCAGTGAAAATCCCCAAATCAAAACCCTAGTTTGAATCTACAAACCTGATTGAATGGTGGAAGTGTTCTTCTTCGCGTGCGTTCGTCTCTTCCGTCTCCTCTCGGCCGTCTTCTCTCTCCACCGTTACTTCTCTTTCTTCGTTCTTTTCTTCTAGCTTAGAGCTCTATCTGTGTGTATTTTCTTTGTCCATCTTCTCCTTCTCACCCGTTGTTATGCCAGTTGGGGTTTGGATTTGGGATTTGGGGTCTGATAGAGAGAGAGAGTGAGGGTTTTGAAGAGTTTTTGCAGAGAGATGAAAAAAAGAGAGAGGAGGGTTTGGGATTTGGGGTCTGATGGAGAGAGAGGGTAGGGGTTTGAAGATTTTTTGCAGAGACATGAGGGTTCGAACCCTCTCTCTTCTCCCTCTCTTCTAGTTTTATCCGATGACAGCTTTCTATCTTCCTTAACCCAATTAGATTCCTTAACCCAATTAGAAGCCAAACAATTTGATAAAAAAAAAAATTTCTAATATAGTTTTGGTCATTGGCGCCAGATGTATCTCATTTTGTCGCTTTTTTAATTTTCAGTCGAACCATTCACGACATAAATTATGTGTCGTAAAAAGTATAATATTTTAAACGGTTGGCATTTTGTACGTAGTAAAAAGTGTAATTTTTAACAATTGACTTTTGTATGTCGTGGAATATTCAATATTTTTAACGACTGCTGTATGCATGTGGTTTATAGTTAATGTATTAAGGGCATGCCATATGTATGTCATAGAAATGTTTTATTATTTACGGCTAACATTTCAAGCAGTAAAAAAATCATCGTTATGAGTATTCATGACCTACGCAGTAAACATGTCGTGATTGGGAAATTATTTACAATATGCAAAAAAAACAAGTTGTAAAAGTGAGAAACCACGACTTACATTTATTATATGTCGTTGATGTGAAACCGTAAAAATCCAGTTTTGTTGTAGTGAAAAAAAAAAAGGAGGGAATTTTAAGAGGGAAATGTCCACCACCGATTAGCAGATCACCCCAAAAAAATAAATAAAATAAAATATTCAAAACAATTTTTAGATTTGTTTTTTTTAAAAAAAAATTTAAAAATAATTTTAGAGCAATAAAAATCAAAATTATATTTTTAAAATTTTAAAAAGTATTTATGACCTAAAAGATAAAAATATACAAAAATAATAAGCTTTTTTTTTTCACCCAATTTTTTTTTTTAGTTTTTTAGGAAAAAAAAATTTGAACTAGTTTCTGAAAATAAAAACAAACATATTGAAATTGATAATCTAACCATATTCTTAGAAAAAGTTTAAATTATCTCAATTTAGTCATCTCAACTTAAGAGTATCTTTGGGCTCAATGGGTTCATTTTGTGATCTAATTCAATGATCATTTTAATTTTACAATTCAGTAAATAAAATATTTAAAACTCTTTCAAAAATTATAATAAAAAACACAAATCACTAAATCACATCATTCTACTAGCAAAACTTTTACTACCATTAGAAAGAGAATAAGAATGCCAAATATCAGTTAGCGTTATCAAACAAAATCGATAAACCTATTCCCAGTTCAATTCCTTCCCAGATCTAGTTCAAGAACCTGGAATTCCCTTAGGGTTCTCTAATTTTAGATTCAAGAATTTTTTTTTTATTT